TGAGCTCTGCTGCCACATTCCTGCTGCAGGATCCTGCCCTGAAGGTCCAAACAAACTAAACCAGGCCCAGTCCCCTTGGAGCCAAGCACAGGGATCTCACCCTGGGGCAGGAGAACCTCCCAAGGTTCTCCTGGGGAGATCAGACTCATCAGACACATGGCACTGAAGAGCCCTGGGCACCCTGTCCATGTGTCCCTGTGGTGTCCCTGTGTCCCTGTGGTGTCCCTGTGTCCGTGTGTCCCTGTGTCCCTGTGTGTCCCTGTGTGTCCCTGTGTGTCCCTGTGTCCACGTGTCCCTGTGTCCCTGTGTGTCCCTGTGTGTCCCTGTGTGTCCCTGTGTGTCCCTGTGTCCCCCTGTGTCCCCCTGTGCCCGTGTGTCCCTGTGTCAGTGCAAGCCTGCACGGATGCAATGCTGGATCCAGCACTCCAGGCCTGCCATCCCCACACTCCTGCACACAGCCCATGACAAACACCTCTCAGGAAAGGGTTTCTCCCCCTCCAAAGCAATGTCTTCCTGATTTTGCATTTCCCAAACCTAGGAAATGTGACGGTGGTGGTGGAAATGTGATGGAACTTCATCACCACATTCCCAGAAAATCCCTTTCCTTGCTTGCACTGCTTCCAAGTTACGCACTCCCCACCCCAGATGAGCAAACACATCACTCCTGCAGATGCTTTCTCAACTTGTCTTTCCTGAAATGTCAAATGCAAAGGAATGGATTCCATGAAGCCAGTAAATGCTCCTCACCTGCCTCTCGTGTGAGAGCTGCTGGTGATGGGGCAGTGAGGAGAGAAATGCAGAGATAATGAATTTACTGGAGTACAGTGCACTGCCCTGCACAGCCCCAACCTGTGCCCTCAGCCTCGTTAGCTCAGCTTCATGGGCTGAAATAAAACCTGAAATAAAAGCAAAGTGCAGCCCCAAGTTTTCCTTGTTGCCACAAGCAGAATTTTAGGGTTGTTTTTTCCTTCTGGAGAATTCCCATAAAAACACACACAGGTTCAGGCTTCCATCCATGAAAGCTGCTCTCCTTCACAACCAGAGAACGAAAATGTGACCAAATGTTCCCAAGCCACGGAGGCTGCTGGGGGAGCTCCCAGAGCCAAGTCCAGGAAGGGAACAGCCCTTGGCTGGTGGTTGGGTAATAAATAACTTGGAAAGGGAACAAAGACTGGTTTGAATCAAGCTCCCTAAAAGCCAAGGCTGGCATCTCTCAGGCAGCTTCTAGAAGAGCTCAAGGCAAAGGAGAGATGCTCTTTAACAGAAGGTAAGAATTGCAAATGCTCCCTACATGTTCAGCAGCAAAAAAACTGGGCAGGCTGGAGAATGTCTGCTGGCTGAGGAGGGAAGGGATGAGCACAGCTGGAAGGGGAGGAGGAGGAGTTATTCCCTGTTATTCCCACGTCCCAATGCCATGGCAGGGGACAGGGGTGGCACTGGGCACCCTCTGCAGCCACAGCCAGGAGCAAACAGCCAGGCCCAGGCAGGAATGAGAGGAGAGGCCTCACGTGGGATCCTGGACTGAGAGAACACAGATTCCACCCCCATCTGTGCCTCTCTGGGTGGCCAGAGAGCTCTCCCTTTCCCCAGCCACACTCTCTGCCTCCCCAGCACTCCCAGGACAGCAGCAGCTGGAGACACACATCCCTTTGGCCATAGTGTGCCATGAACATTTCCCCCCTTCCTTGCCTGTAAGCAAACCAGGAGGGACTGGCACAGCCAGAGAAATGAGATTTCACTCCCTCAGCAGCCAAGCATCTTGCTGAAAGCTGGTTTGGATTGCTGTGAGGACACTGAAAGGACAGGATGCATTTCAGAGGCAATAAAACCATATTAACATCATACCTGTGTCACACTCCTCAGGCTGCATTGCCAAAGGCTTTCACCACAAGTCTCATTAGCAATCCCATTAAAACAAGAACACAGCTGGTGAGAGCATTTACTGTGCAGAAGACTCAAATTCTTCTAAATTTATAGTGGCAAAATTGATTACTGATTCTAACATCTGTTGCAGATTTTACATTTAAATTCTCCTTAAAAAGCCCCTCAGCTCAGAAACATCATACATAGCTCCCCTCCCTCAGGAGCCACATAAATCATTTCCCTGCAAATCAAATATGTCTTTTCATAAAAACAATTGTTCCTGTCATTTGTTACATAATAATCAGCACTAAAACCTGCTGAGGATGTAACTCGATCTATTTATGCTGTTTGTAATCACACAAAGACAAGGGTAACTGGGAAGACAGGATAATGTTGGGAAAAACAAAAAGAGTTAAGTAAATAGCAGCAGATGCAAGGCTGGGAATGTTTAAATATCAAACCAGTCTGTTCATTACCCAGGAATATAACAGGAGCTACCTGTGAGCAGTGTGAAAATTCAGACCAGGAGACAGTAATGAGAGATATTTTTGTATCTCATGTTTTGTATCTTCCCCTGGATAAACCATTCCTAGCACCTTCCAGCAAGGAATATCCAGCCACCAAAGCCAGGCACTGCCAGTGTGTGATATCCTAGCGCAGGCACAGGGAACCATTTCCTTCCTTGATCTTTTTTAATAAGGGAAAAAGCCCAGGTGTCTGCTCCACTTCTCCCAGGGAGCCCTGACCCCGGTTCTCCAGGAAATCCTAATCCCCTTGAAGCAGAAGAAGAGTGAGGGCAAGGTTAGATGCCAGATCTGAAGCTGTGTTGTGTGTGATGTCCAAAGGCACAGTCTGAGCTCCTGGCAGTGCCCGTGAGCTGCTTCCTCTGCTTTGTGACCCTCCTGGAAGGACAGGAAGGACAAGCTTCTGCTCCATCATCAGCTGGCAGTGCCACAACACCCCCTGAACCTGCAGGGCTCATTCTGCTCCGTGCATGGCTCCAGACTGCTTGAGAGAACATTGGCACCTGGTCCCTGCAGGTCCAGCAGCTCAGCCTCTGGCAGCACAGCAAGTCCTGCCCAGCCAGCCCGTGCACGGGACAGGATCCATCACGAGGCACTCAGGGAGCTGCAGACAGGGGAGCTGACGCCACTCCAGGGCTGGAAGATGTTCCTCAGAGCAGGAGTGACAGCAGGGACCTTCAGCCCAGAGCTCAGCAAGCCCATGGACATCCATGGACCAGCAGCCACCTGTTCAAGAGCTGTTTCCCCCTGGCCAGGAGGCAGAACTGGTGCCCTGGGCACTGCCCAGCCCTGCCCAGGCTGCCCAGGGAGGGGCTGGAGTCTCCCTGAGCGGGGATATTCCCGAGCCCTCTGGACACGATGCGGTGCCCTGTGCTCTGGGCTGGCCCTGCCGGAGCAGGGAGGTGGCACCAGTGACGCTCTGTGCCCCTGCCAGCCCGGCCCAGCCTGGCCCAGCCCGGGGTCCTGGAAGGTGAAAAGGCCCCTCAGAGCTGCTGCCAAGGGATGTGAACCATGAACAGGACACGTGCTGCTCTGTCCATCACCATCCTCTATCCAGCTCTTTCCCCAGTGTAGAAATCCATGAGTACTTTGTCACACTGGGTCACTGCATCCCCATTCCGCTTCTCAGCAGCTTCCCCCAGAGCTCCTGCTGTCCCCACGTGTGATGCTGCCTCGTGCAGATGAGCAGGGCTGCCAGAGCAGGGTTTCACCAACTGGAACAACCATTAATTGGCTCTTGTGCTATCAGTGTTTCAAGGACCCTTCAAAGTGCAGTTGCTTGGAGGAGAAAATGCACCTGCTAGTGGAGCTGCTTCCTCCTCTCCTCTTCACCTTGACCAGGGTATTTTTAGCTGTATGGACAGACTTGCCAATACTTTCACCTTCAATTGTTTGCAAGGAAACTTCTCCCAGTAATGAACACTCAGGGTCAAGAGAGGCAGCAGGAAATAACTGGTGGGCAAAAGCAATTTCCCAAAAGGCTTTTTCAGTATTTTCTGCCCTCAGTATTTTAGCTCCCCTTCTTCCCACAGATTTCTCTGATGACAGAGAATTTAGTTTGCACTTGATTTTAATACCCTCAGAGTTTGGCCTGAGGTTTAGCACAAGAGTGCTGTACCTCCACACACAAAGCACCTGACCCCGCTGCCCACATGCCTTTGCAGCAGAAAGTGCCACTCAATTCCTCTGAGTCTCACAGATCCACTAATCTAAGTTCATTTGGCAGAGAATGGTCCAACACTGTCATCTGAGAAGGCAGGAAAACTCATTATTCCAACAAAAGCTCATTATTCAAAGGCAACCGTCTCTCTTGGCTGTTCATCCCAGCAGGTAAGGTGACAACGTCTGCCAGATCAGTAAACACAGCCCTGGCTTCCATCAGAGCCCAGGAGCAGGAACAAGAGAGGCAGACATGCCTGTGAGGCACTGCTCTTATCCATTCCTGTGCTGCTTCATTAATTACTCCAGAAGTCAGCAGTCACACAGAGCCTGAGCTGACACCAGCCCAGGGCCCTGCTCAGCTGAGCCCAACACACCCAGGGCACAGCCCCCCTGCTGCTGTGCTCAGATCCCCTGGGCTGGGTCAATCCTCCAGAAAAAAGCAGATTTCTCTGCAACAGGAGAGTGACAGGGCTACCAAACTCCAGCACACACATTTTAATGTCCTTTACATACTGCCATTTCAAGGGAGCCTCTGAGAACCAGAGACAAGGAACACGGGATTTACAATTTCCCTGAATTTCCAGCTTTCCTTCGTAGTGTAACCCCCTTGTTAGGAAATCTATTATTTGATAATCTCTTCATTCCTCACAGCACCTTTTATTCACAGCATTTCATTTACTGCCCCGTTTGACACACACATTCTGCTCTGGAAAACCACCCAAACCTGCTGCACTCCACACACCTGACAGCCCCAACCATGGAAATGTATTCCCAACACACCAGGACCCTCTCCGTGGTCCCTCTTAAAGCCTCTCAAGGCTTCCACTTCTGCAGAAAGTAGAAGCAGGTAAGGTGAGATGGAAAAAAAAAAGGTGTGGTGAGTCAGCAAAGTGTAGAAGGAAGGAAAAAGCCATTTAAAAGCCATTTTAAAGTCCATTCTTAAGTGGGTACCTTTTCAGCCAAGGCCTTTAAGCTGTCTAGAAACCTCTGCCAGAAGTCCTTGAAGAGGGGTCTGTCAATCCTCCTCAGGCTCTCCTTGGTGCTGGCATCCACACTGACATAGAGCTGGGTCACAGGCTCCAGCCTCCTGCGAAGGGAAAAGGGAACTGCTGCTGTCACAAAGCTGCTGCTGGAGTTTGTGCTCTCCTACAAAAGCAGGAACAGGAACTGGACACCATTTCCAGGGAAAGTTCATCTCTTGGGGATTGGGCACAGCTGGGACTGGATGATCCTGGAGGGATTTCCCAACCTCAGGGATTCTGTGATTAAATTCAGCCAGTTCCCACTGCTGGACATGCTGAACTCCCCTGGCCTGCAGCAGGATCACCAGTGACATTTTTGAAGGGATCTCAGAGCTGTTGAGAAAATAAACCCACACACAAACCACCACCGTTTTCTCCTTCTGCTGCCAAGGCTCTTATTCCACAGGAATGCTGGACAGAGCCCTTCTGGTCACAAGAGCTGGTCCCAGCAGCTGGGAGGCCAACACTGGGAGCTGCTGAAGGGACCAAACCCCCTGTGCTGTGGGATGAGCCTCGCTGGAGTCTGACCCCTCCCATAAATGCCAAAGGAAGAAAGGAGAAGCAGCAACAACACAGCCCATCGGCAAAAGGATCTAAGGGATTGAGAAGAACCTAGAAAGGAGCTCCCTCAGAATCCCAGGATCCCTGAGGCTGGAAAAGCCCAACCTGTGTCTGATCCCCACCTTGTCACCAGCCCAGGGCACCAAGTGCCACCTCCAGGGACAGGGACACCCCCCCAGGATGGAGACAAACCCTTCCCACTGGCAGGCGTGACGGAGGCAGGGAGTGTGACACAGCCACCCTCTGTGGCATCTCACCCCGGGGGCTGCAGCATCCACAAGCACATCCCAATGTACCACAGAGCTCTCAGCATTTGGGGGCAGCAGTCTGGGAGTGCTCTGTGTGTTTGTAATGAGCAGGCACCAGTCCCAGCTTCATTTCACAGCTTCATCTCCTCTAGAGAAGATGACGAGAAGTCAGAAGCCATTGCTCAGCTGCCAAACAGTGCCACCTAAAAATACACTGTCACCCAAAGGTGACCTAGGGACAAGAACTGGCCAGAGTGAGACTGATCAGAGCTCTTTGTGTCCAGAAAATTCCACTTAATGTGGAATTCCACTCAGCCAACCATCACAACACATTCTCAGTGTGTGCATTTAAACAGCAAAGTGAAATAATCCAGAACAAACTGAATATTTCAGGTTAAAATCTCAGTTTTGTAAACAAGTTTGTCTGGACTGGCAGCCCAAAGCCACAGACTCCAAAATGACCAAATGTTCTGAGCCTAAGTGGATTGAAGTGCTCAGTTTCCAGGCACACTCAGCCAAACTCTTCCTTTACTCAGTGCTGTCTTTGCTTAATTAAAAGGGCCCTAGTGAAGATGGAGCAGGTGCTTCACAAAAGAGCTGCTGAGAAAAATCATCTCAAAGCTAGAGACAGGCAGGAGCCAGCCTCTGTCAGCTGGGGAAATGAAGGAATCAGAAGTGATCCCAGGGAGGGGTTTCAGCCCCAGACAGGAATGGTCCCCAGGGCTGGGAATCAGCCTGGATGAGCTGGGCACGTTCTGCCAGGGGGAACAAGGAGAGGGGGCAGCCATGGGTGCAGTGAGAACAACACTGCTGTTCCTGGGACACAGCTCCAGCACAGGGTAACAGCAAATCCAGCCCTGTGCTACCAGGATGGATTTTTGGTGTCAATTTCCAAGCTAGCTCAGACACCTGAGATGAAATCCAGGAGACCAAATCCATGGCATTTACACATGGATCTGGATAGAAATCCTGAGCTGAAACCTTCAGCTGAGCTGTGCCACTCAAATAAATTGACTTCAGGCCTCCAGGCCTGAGGTGGCTTCACCAGGCAGGCAGGACAGAGCCCACGAGAACCAGGAACAGCAACATCAAAAATGAGCATTTGCTGGTGAGCATTAATAATCATTATTGGTATTATTATTGACCATAAGGAGAGGAAGGCACAGGGGGCACCCCCTGGAGCCCCTGTCCTGAATCCAGCAACACTCCAGGCCATGCTGCCCTCTCCCAGAAGGGGTTGGGAGGGACCTGAAAGCTCATCCTGCCATGGCAGAGACACCTTCCCCTGTCCCAGGAGCTCCAGCCCCAGTGTCCAGCCTGGCCTTGGGCACTGCCAGGGATCCAGGGACAGCCCCAGCTGCTCTGGGCACCCTGTGCCAGGCACTGCCCACCCTGCCAGGGAACAATTCCTGCCCAAAATCCCATCCAGCCCTGCCCTCTGGCACTGGGAGCCATTCCCTGTGCCCTGTCCCTCCATCCCTTGTCCCCTGTCCCTCTCAGCTCTCTTGCACCAGAGGTCACCCTGCCCATTGCAGGATGAACTTTTTGATGACAGTTTCTCTGCTGACAGCACAGAAGTGAGCTGGATGCCTACTTCAGTTCCCATATTAAGCAAATCATCTGCTTTGATGAGCCAAAGATCAGTTGCAATTTTTAAGACAGCAAGCCTAGCATTTTATCCCCTTCTTTTTTGTTTCTTTTTAAAAAGATTCAGCAGATCCGAAAAGTGCAGCTTCAAAATAGTGTGTGCTCTCTTTTTAAACTGCTATATTTAGGAAAGAGCAATTTCTATCTACCAGGCACATAATACATGACTTAAAGTAACTTGATTACACAATTATTCAATCATTTGGAATGCCTTTGTAGTGTGTAATTACTCACTCCCAAACTGCCTGCGCTCCCCCCTCAGTGCCAGGTTCAGACCACGAGGAGTGCAAAGGAAGCTGTCCCAGGAGCACTGAGAGGAGCTGGCATGGGCTGGGTGACACAGCAAGGCCACCCTGCCCACAGCTCCCACAGCTCCAGGCCTGGATTTGCTGCTCTTCTCAGCTGCTGGGATCGTGAGGAGCTGCATTTCCCCACGTGCTGCACTTCCTTGCCACACCGCTGCAGAGTTTGGAAACAGCAGCCTGAATGCTCCAAAACATCAGGAAAAGGGATTCTTTACCTTTGTAAAGACTCTGAAACAGTTCACTTAAGAGTTTGGAAGATTTCATTAAAGTCCCTCTGAGGGAGGTTAAGTGGATCTCACTTTGCTGATGAACACGTGCTTGTCCCCCCTCCTCATCCTCCTGGGGACACTGGGCTGGACAGAGCTTTGGGTCGAGCTTTACAGCTGCTCTTCTGGGCTCAGAACAAAGATCAGCCCCAAGAGGCAACCTCTGAGCTCAGTGCCCTGCTCTGTGCCCTGCTCTGGCAGAAGGACAGAAGTTCTCCCTGCCCCAGGCACAACCTCTGCTCCCCTCCTGCCACACCTTCACAGGTGCCACATTCCAGCTCTTCACTCCACAAGCAATCAGCGTTTGTTTAGGAGGGACAGAAAAGAAAATCAAACTGAGGGGGAGAAAGGGATGAGAAGGAGCATGGGGAGATTGAGGTTAAAAGGGAGATTTTTCATTGCCAGAGCTCATGCTGAGCTGACTCTGAGGGGGCACTAAACGGGATCAGGACACAGGTCAGCACACCAATGTTCCAGCAGGAAGTTTAGCAGGAATTTCCTGCAGCTCCTACCTGATCTCCTCGGGGAACTGAGCGTTGGTGACCAGGAAGGTGGAGATGCCGTGCTGGTGCAAGAGCCTGACGAAGCGGTTGATGTGTGGGTACATGATGGGCTCCCCCACCAGGGACAGGGCACAGTGCTTCACTGCCAGGGCCTCCTCCAGGAGAGCTGCCTTCACTCCTGACACGCCTGGAAACGGGACAACAGCCTTGAACCATCAGTGGATGGGGCAAGCTGCTCTGGGGGAAGGTGGCCCTGCCCATGGCAGGGGCTGGAACAAGATGATTTTTAAGGTCCCTTCCAACCCAAACCCTTTTGTGCTTCTGTAACAAATCCCCCACCCAAACACCTGTATCCAAAACACACCCTGGCACAAGGAGGGCTGAGAAGAGCAGCTGGAGCCTCCCAAAGCAGAGGGGACACCAAGCCACAGCCAGGGAGCAGCTCTGCAGCACCCAGAGCCTGGGGCTGGCTGTGCCCTGGGCACTGCTGACAGACGTTTATGGTAGCACCTGAGCCACGGTTAAACATTTGAGCCAAGCTCTCCACTGCTGAATGCTGAGACACACACACACAGGACAGCTCCATGCCAGCCCAAGCAGGTGTGCTCAGCCATGGTCCCCAGAGAGAGCAGCTCCCCAGCACAGCGAGGGGCTGAGCCCAGCCTGGGAACACAGAACACGCAGCTCCACAGAGGATCAGAAGAAAAGCCAGCACATGGCACAGTCCTGAACAGGCAGAGACCTTTCAGAAGAGGAAAACATGCAGAGCTCAAGCACAGCATCCGTGTGAAAACACCAGCTGAGCCCCACTGCTGATGCCCACAGGAGGGAGGGAGGGGGAGCTGGATGCTCCTCCAGCCCACCACACCTGACCAGGTGCTCAGGAGCCCAGATGAAATCAGCTGCCTCCAAACAAGCTTTTGCTCCAAATCCATCACTTCACATTTCCCTGACATGCTTTGATGGACTGCAATCCTATCTGAGGCTTTAGATTGGGGGCTGGTTTGTTTTAAAGATAAAAAACAAAGCCTGGAGTGTGAATCCAGGTCCTCAGCTCCCCTCTCGCTGCCTTGACGCTGCAATACAGAAAATTACAGCTCAGCTGCAAAGCCCAGATAAAAGAGGTGTTTGTGGATATTGCTCCAGCCTCACGTAGCAAAGCTGGTTTGGAATCAGAGCAGGGCTCAGTGCAGCCAGGCTGTCCTGAGGAAGTGACAGGACTAATGGTTATTCCATAGAAACCTGACAGTACTAAATGAGAGCTTTTTTGGAGAAGAAAGCAGCATCTCCAGCACATGCTGAGATTAAAGGACTAAATTTCACATTCCTAAAACTACTGCAAGTCAGTTTTGGAATTAATTAATTTCTCTCTCTCAGCATTTTGCATCTGGACTCTCATAATTACCTTGCCAGCTTTATAAGCAGAAGAACAAAATGCCAACATCCCCTAAAGTTTGAGTGGAACTTTTCCCAAACAGTTTACACCAAACCTGGCAGATCCAGGCAGAGGAGGGAGTGGGTTTGTACACAACCATTTCAGCACACAAATCACCAGCCAGGCAGGGATAAACTGCCCAGGACTGCTGTATTCCAGGAGGGCAGGGACTCTCCTGAATCCCTATGGCCCTGATCCTCCCATCAGCTCCCAACAGAGCACATCTCCCTGGAAAAGCTGATTCCAGCTGCTCCACCAGCCTGGGAAAGGACAGCAGCAGCTGGCACAGCACCCTGGGGAGGCTGGGGCTGACCCTGGTACCCCTTGGAAGGACCTGAGCAGCACCACAAGAGCCTGGGGGACAGGGGGATGAGGGACCTGCTCTATCCATGCTGATCCATGGTCACTCCAAGGATTTCCTAGGACAGGCCACGCATTTCTCTTTGGGTTTTTTTCCCTACATTATCAGACTCCCACTCTCCCAGTCCTGAGTTATGTTTCCATCCTTTGCAAGGGCACAGGGATTTACAAGTCACTTCCCAGAAAAATGTATCCATCAAATAAACTTCCCAGCCTCGCTCCCTATCAGTGAGGTGTCTCTCCATCATTTACCCACCAGAGAACTCTGGGGCTGTAATGGCTGTGCCCTCCAAACCCAGCACAAACTCTGCTAACACTACAGCACAAGATGATTTATCATCACCCACAGGCACCCAGAGTACAGAGGGCTATCCTGCAGGGTATCCTAAAGGAGAAAGGAACACAAAAATTCTGTTCCTGCAAAGGAAATCTCATTTTTACTGCAATGGGTTGAATGAATAAAGCACCAGATGAGCTCACCAGTTTCTGTGGCCCATGGAATGGGTGTGTTTCCAAAATGACAGCCAAGGCCAGGGCTCATCTTGCACGTTTTATGGCTGTTCCACTCCATTTCTGCTGCTCACAGGCAGCTGGGGAGAGCAGAACCCTGGAGCTGTCCTGCCAAGCTGGCCAGCCCTGCCAGCACACACAGCTGACCCTGGCACAGCAGCCAGATCATCACATTTGGGAAATAAAACCCCAGCCTTCTCTATAGTTATAGACACAGAATAGCCCCAGGGAATTGCTGTGGGAAGCAAGCTGCTTTCCAGAGGTGCTCTGGAAACTGCAGCTTCAGTCACAACCACGGGTACTGAATAATTCCTGAAAATCAAAATCCCCTGCTTGCTGCTGTTTCATTATTAATGAGACAAACACAGCCCAGAAGTTCCAGGGCCAACACAAAGCTGGGTATGAAGGCTAGCAGTGTATTTCCCGTCAGGTAAGAGCTGATTGCTTTTGCTTCCTACCTGGCCTCACTCTTCCAGAGGAGCCAGGATCCCTCATCCTCCAAGCTGGCTTTAACCACTGGGGAAGGCTCTGTGCACACCCAGGGAAAGGATTTGACAACTACCAGGATACACCAGAGGCAACTCCACTCTACTCCCTGCAGGCAGCAGCACACACTCAGCAGCTGAGACTCATTTCAGAAAACATCAAATGTGCCACAGCAGTTTCGTCTCCCCCTCTTCCCGATATCCTGAACCTCAGGCCTCCTTCCCAAGGGACCAGGACATTCTCCCCTGCTCTGAAGATGTCACTGCTGGTTATCCTCTAACAGCATCGGGGTGGGGACAGAGGAGAAGTTACCTTTGAACTGCCTGATCATGTTCTGGTGTTTCTCCATGGCCTCCTGCAGGATCACCTCGGGCTGGTCCATCTTCCAGCGCCACTCGGTGCCCACAGGGTTCGTGTGGTGTCTGAGGGAACAGGGGACAGTCACTCCCTGCCACTTGGAACCCACCTGGAGAACTCACCTGCCACCTGGGCTAAACATCAGCTACAACCAGGAAAGGACACACCAAAGAGATCCCTGGAATTCCAGCCCCTGGAATTATGGGAGGAGGAAGAGGGAGACCACAAAAAAAGCTTGGCCAATGCACAAGCCAGCCTTGTTTAATGTTCCTGCTGGTACAATCTGAAACCTGACTGTACCTTTTCTTCTGCACATGCTGAGAGCAGCAGCAGGAGCCCAGCCTGGGCTGGGCACTGACCAGGACTGAGATACGGAACCTGAATGAAATGTTTTCCCTAGCATGGGTAAAGCCACCCTGGAGCAGGCTGGATAAACGGGCTGCCAGGATCACAGGGTGCCAGGGCTGGATATTAAGAGAAATTTCTTCATGGAAAGGGTGGTCACAGGGCAGTGGTGGAGAGGTTTAAAAGCCCCATGGATGTGGCACTTGAGGACAGGGTCTGGTGGCCTTGGCAGTACTGGGGAAACAACTGGACCCAGGGATATTAGAGAGCTTTTCCAACCAAAATAATTCTGTGACTCTCTTCCAATTGAAACCTTAACGATGGAAGATGCCCCATGCTGAAAAGCTCCTGCCAACTCTGAGATGCTCCTTTTTAAGAGCAGACTCTCCTGAAAGGCAGGCGATTCTCAGTGTCCTGTGCTTCTGTCCACCCACAGATTTGTTTTCAGTTTCTTCTTAATTTTTAAAATACCTTAAGTACTTCTCCTATGAGAGATTATTAATTTTTAATCTCTGTATTTCGCAGGGCTTACTGTGATGCCTGGCTTTTGGCCACCCACTGATTTCGTGTCTGAACACAACTTCAGTTGCTGTCTACAAGCACAAGCTGAAAACTCCAAGCACAGGTATAAGCATTAAAGTTACAGCAGAAGAAATACGAGCCAATTTCTTCACAGGATATTTTACTCTGTCTGATTTGCCTCCTCCTCAGATGCAAACGTAATAAACCCTATTAATTTAAATCTTATTTAGCTGTTCCATCTCTCCACACTAATTGACTGGGCTTTGGACACTGAGCCAAAGACCCTCATCAGATCAGGTCTGCTGGGTGCCTGTGCTGCAGGGAGGTGTCACAGAGCTCCGAACCCACACTTGCTCTAATTGATTAAAAGATTTGCTCACTTGCACATTTCCATTTAGGCAATTTAGCCAAAGAGACACAGCCCCAGTGAGAGCAGCTGGGAGCGGGGATGGAGAGAGGCAGAGTCCCTTGGGGATGGGATTATGACTGGGGCTGTTGCAGTGATTCAGGTGTGGGGTGTCCCCCTCAATGTTTTAATGGAAAGGGGGATCGGGGGGCTCTTGTGGCTCTGCACAATCCCTGGCAGGAGGGGACAGCCGAGGGGATCAAGGACAGGGTGGGACTGGATGATCCTGAATGACTCCTCCTACCTCAGTGACTCTGGGATTTATCAGCTGCTGTTCTAGGAAGGCATCAGCTACTGAGTGATCACTCTTCACTCCTTCAGAGCAATGGTGGGAGTGCAGGTACCTCCAATATGGGAAACAATCCCATTTCCAAGGACACTGCTCAGGGGTTCACCCCACACAGGCAGCACAGCTGGCTCAGGAACAGCTGGCTGTGTCCCCCAGAGCCCCACCCTGCCCAGAGGGTGCCTTACCTCCAGCAGAAGACACACTTGTTGGCACAGGCCAGGCTGGGGGTGGCCTCCATGCAGCGGTGGCTCTCGATGCCATAGAAGGTGTGCTTGTAGCAGCCCCCACGGCCCCGCAGCATCGACTGAGGGCAGGGAACACAGCAGCAGGGTTACAACCCAGCTGGGGCCAAACTGAGGCTACACACACACCACGAGAGTTACAGACCCAGCTGGGACCAAACTGAGTGCACACACACACACCAGGAGAGTTACAGACCCAGCTGGGGCCAAACTGAGGGCACACACACACACCACGAGAGTTACAGACCCAGCTGAGACCAAACTGAGGGTACACACACACCACCAGGAGAGTTACAAACACATCTGGGGCCAAACTGAGGGCACACACACACACCACGAGAGTTACAAACACATCTGGGGCCAAACTGAGGGTACACACACACACCACGAGAGTTACAAACACATCTGGGGCCAAACTGAGTGCACACACACACCAGGAGAGTTACAGACCCAGCTGGGACCAAACTGAGTGCACACACACACACAGGAGAGTTACAGACCCAGCTGAGGATACACACTGAGTGTACACACACAACACACCACGAGAGTTAAAATTCATCTGGGGCCAAACTGAGTGCACTCACACACACAACACACACACACCAGGAGAGTTAAAACTCCCCATCTGAAGCCAAACTGAGGGCACAGCCATGGATCTGCTCCTTCAGCCACCTGTGAGCTCAGTTCCAGGCTCAAAGCCCCGAGCAGGGCTGAGGGACACCAGTGCCACCTGCCCTGAGAAATTCCCAGCTCCCTATAGAATGTGACCCTTCCCGTGCACTCTCGCAGCCTGACTGCATTCAGGAGGTCACACTCATCCCTGTGTAAGAGCAGAAAGAACTCTAAGCTGCTCAGTCCCTTCTCTGGCAGACCCCAACACAACAATGTGCTCTCCTGCAGCTTTTCAGACTCAGCCCAGAGCAGGTGAAGCCTCTTGAGCTGCAGGAAGTGTTCCTGGAAAAGCTCACTCAGGAGCAACAAGGATCCATTTCAAGGCTGTCCTACTGAACATTCCATTCTTTTCATTTATCTGGCAGAGTGTTTCTTGCAGCACTAAATTAAATAAATGCCCTGACCTTATAAACCCTCATTTACAGCCAGCAGTGGGTCCAGCAGGATGCTGCTCTTCCCTTCCCAGCACAGCCACAGCAGCTTTCCCAACAGGATTCAATTCCTATTTAACATGCAGGCTGCTTGCAGAAAAGGCTGTCTTTTATTAGCACAGTTAAATAAAAATAAATGAGAAAGAAACTTTACTACTCTCAAGAGAAAATCTGAAATATAACACAGCAGCTTTTAATCTGCCTTCCTCTTCCTGGAGAGTCCTGGTGATCCAGCAGAAAGAAGCAGCAGGGAAAAACCTACAGTTAATCCCTAGCTGGTTGTACAGGTGGAAGATTAAATGACATGGAAAATGCTGTTGATTCTACCCATTCTTCAAATTATAGAGACTTCAGGAGATTCACAAATTCAGAAGAGCGAGTCATATTTGGCTTTTCCTAAGGCAAACAGACTCTTCCTAAAACATCCAGGGTTTCTGTTTTTTTCTGCAGTTTGACAGAACCCAATCTCTTCCATCTGAGACACCTCTATGAAACTCTGCTTAATCCTGATCCTGCCAGCTCTGCTCCTGCTTTCCTCTGATACAAATCTCCACAAAGGCTCCTGAAGACTCTCCCACACTGGTGTGAACCTGAGGCAAAGCCACTGCCTGGAACCAATCTCAGCTCAATTTATTACAAGACTTTACATTCAATTCCTGCTTAAGCTAAAAATAGTGTGGGCCCATCTAAGCACACAGAGCTGCTATTTATTTTGTGAAATGGCTTTACAGTGCTGCATTAAAGTCTGGGTCTGTCATAAAAATAGGTTCTCTGGCTTTCTCTATCACAACACTGAGGTTTGGCAAGTTTTTCTTTAAACATTTCATGATCACGTCTGCCACTGAAATGACAGGAGAGAGAAATGGGTGTAAGAGTGACCAGCAGAGCAGCAGTGGAGTCAGTGCATCCCTGACAGCCCAGGGTGGGCTCTGTGCTGCTCAGGACAACGAGGCTCCTGATGAAACACCCATGGACACCAGGAGCTGCAATAAAAACCCCCTGCAGCCCACTCTGGGATGGCATCCTAAGGGCTCTTTCAAAAATAAACAAAGTTCATCACGTGCCAAAGGAGAGCTCAGAGAGCAAGGACTGATCACTGCCACAGCACAGGAATTACAGATGAGCTGACATCTTAATGAGGTGCTGATTCCAGAGCTCCCATCCAGGGATGCTCAAGGGTGCAGGGTGGGTGAAGGGGCTGGACCCCAGGAGGGGCTGAGGGAGCTGGGAAGGGGCTCAGCCTGGAGCAAAGGAGGCTCAGGGGGCCCTTGTGGCTCTGCACAAGTCCCTGGCAGGAGGGGACAGCAGGGGGGGTCGGGCTGTGCTGCCAGGGAACAGGGACAGGAGGAGAGGGAACGGCCTCAGGCTGGGCCAGGGGAGGCTCAGGGGGGATTTTGGGGAAATTCCTTCACTGAAGGGGTGGCCAGTTCCTGGCACAGCTGCCCAGGGCAGGGTGGAGTCCCCAGCCCTGGGGGGCTCAGCAGCCCTGTAGCCTCTTTGTATTTATGAAATGAGAAAAGGAAACAGAGCGTACCTTTGTCCATCGGCAGAGCTTCACTCCAGAATGGCTCCCAATGAGTTTATAACCTCAAAACAAAGCACAGATCATCAAACAATTGAGTTCAGCCTGCAAGAACTGACACACAAAGTACACCAAGTGGTACCCAGAGTGACTGACACCATGGACTCAACGCTGCTGTTCCCCACCAGCCCCAGGGTGACAGCACCAGCAGTGGCACCCCAGGACCTCGGCCAGCTGGAAATGGTTTCTTTTAGCAGGACATGTGCTGATACTGCTGAGCCTGCTCTGAGCCAGGTGCCCAGGGGACTCCTGCACGGCCAGGATGGCAGAGCCTGTCCAAGCCAGGCTGTGAGAGCAGGACAGGGAACCAGGAGCATCTCCCTGGCCCCAGGCCATGCCCCAGAACCCGGGATCCTGGTCCCAGCCTGCAGGACGGGAGCTGATTCCCAGCACAGCTGCGAGGGCACAGGAAGGGAACACAACCAGGGCTCAGCCTGAACCCCACCTGAGCCTCAGCAGGGCCACCCTGCTGGTTCTGGGGCAGCCACGGTGAGGGAGCTGCTCCTCCACAGCCAAAGGAAAGCTGGGCTCAGATCAGCTCCACATTCCCCAGCCAAGATAACACAATTCCATTCCAATGGGTCCAGCAGGATTAATTGCAAAACGTTTGTTAAGCACTAAGTGCTATTATTACCCAAACTGCTCAAGTGGGGTTATATTCCTCTTTGAGAAAACTGCTTAGAGGCCAATATGTCTGAAGGATTAAAAGTCCCTTCAGAATCAGCATAAAAATAAGAGGGATTTGAGACGCCTGGCTGTGTCCCTCACAGTGGCATTCACACGTCACTGGCCTGGCTGTTCCCAAACTCAGCACCTCTCAGCTTCCTATTGCACCCTGCTGCTCTTATTAACACTTTCAAGGGAAGGAAAAATATCAAATTTTAGCTATCAAGTCTTCTTCCTGCCAACCAGCACAAACTAAACAGGGAAAAAGCCCTCAGCACAGCAAACTGGCCTTCAGCTCCTCCACAGAGCAGCAGCACAAGAGCCCTGCCCTGCTCAGGTGTCCCTGAGCAGCTCTGGCACAGCAAGGTCCCAGCAAGAGCAACTGCATCCCAAAGTGCCTGACACCTGCAAGGACACGGAGCCAGCCAGGAGCAGCAGATGCCACAGCAGCTGCAGCAGGCAGAAATTCAGCTGTGCAGGCAGACAGGGCTGACAGGGAATCCAACAATGCTCTGCTCCTGCCACTCAAACCCAGCAGGGACCTGCCCAGGCTCCTCTGCCCACTCCACCTGATGGTGTTTGATCCATCCCCTCACACTGAATATTCAGGCACAGTGACCTCTGCAGTGAGAAGGGCTGGAGAGGGACTGGGGAGAAGGGATGGAGGGACAGGAGCCAGGGAATGGCTGCCAGTGCCAGAGGGCAGCGCTGGATGGGATTTGGGGCAGGAATTGTTCCCTGGCAGGGTGGGCAGTGCCTGGCACAGATGCCCAGAGCAGCTGGGGCTGCCCCTGGATCCCTGGCAGTGCCCAAGGCCAGGCTGGACACTGGGGCTGGAGCACCTGGGACAGGGGAAGTGTCCCTGCCCTTCCAGCCCAAACATCCAGGGATCCTGTGACAGCCCTGCTAAGACAGTCCCCAAAGCCACGTGCAGTCTTGGGGACACTTTCACCTCCGACTGGCTGAGAGCCAGAAGAGGCTGGTGCAGGTTCCAGGGGCACAGCCACACACACACAGCTGAACGTGGCTGGAGCCCAACACCTCCCTGCCCTGGCTCTGTCCTGCCTCTTTCTGCAGCTTTGCTCTGCAAACAGCTTGTCCAGCAAGGTCTAATCTCAGCTGAGAGCTCCCTGCCCTGCTAAACTGTGTGTGCTGACAGGATTTGTGGATGAGAGCTGAAAAGGTGCTGCATTCATCCTCCCTCTAACACAGCTGTCCAAGGCACACTCTGCTGCTGTCACCCAGCACAGCCCAGGCCTTATTTTCCCATTTCTCCAAATCCAGCACCAGCAGTCATATAAGATTATTTTCTCACAGATCACTCGTCAGTAACAGCAAAATGGCTGCTTTCAAATGGGTTCTGCAGAAAAATTACATTTGAAATAGGACATGCCCACCCAGATCTGCCACTGAGCTGTTCAAGGGAAGAGGCTGCAGCTGAACTGAGCAAGGTGCCAAGCTCCAGAGCTCCTGCATTTTCTCTTGAGCTCCTTACATCAACTTCCACCATGTGGAGCACCCACAGGTTCCTTTAAAGGCCAAGAAAACTGTACATGTTCAACATCAAAAGAGTCTTACAAACAGCAGGCAGCTGTGAGGATGAGAGGGGGGTTACTCATCTCTGTCACTGCCAGCTGTGGTGGCAGGAGGGAGCAGCAGAGGTGGGCACAACTCCTAAAGCCACAGAACTGGGAGATGTGTGGTCACCCAGCGCTGGCTGCTGGCCATGCCAAGCTTCTGACACTTGGGAATGAGAGGAAATACCAGAAACCGAGGCTGGACACTTGTTCCACCCCTGCTGCAGGGGAGCTGAGACTCCAGCACTGCAAAGCCTTGCTCCAGAGCAGTCTGGGCCAAAAGAAAGGACAAAAGGTTAAACAAGAAACTGGGAGTGTCCCAGAATCACAGAACTGCTCTGGGTGGGAAAGCCCTCTGAAGTGATGGAGCCCAACCATTGCCCAGCACTGAGCCCTGTCCCCAGGTGCCACATCCACAGGGCTGCCAAACCCCTCCATCCCTGCCCTGGGCAGCTGTGCCAGGGCTGGACAAACCTTTCAGTGAAGAAATGTTCCTCAATATCCAGCTCCCTCAGCCCCTCAATGTCCTCTCTGCAGTGAGGGCCCCAGTCTGAGCCCAGGACAGGCTGAGACCTCAGCAGTGCCAGCACGGGGGCACAGGCACATCCTCACTGCAATGTCACAAATGAAACATGTGCAAAACTGTCACCAAAGCCAGCCTGAGGGGCTCCAGCCTCACGCCATGGCCATGGTGGAATGAGCTTTAATCTCTTTTCCATCCAAAGCCAGTCTGGGATTCTGAAATTCTTTATTCCCAGAAAAACTCAAGAAATCTGCAAGCACTTGGTGTTTTTAAGAGCTGCACCTCAGGGCCAGCTTTGGCTGGAGTCTGGAATGTTCTACCTGCACAAGTTTCCTCCTGACCCACCCAGAAGAAGCCCAAAGGTAACAGCCAGAACTGCTGGCTGCTGCGAGCTTCATCTCTTCTCTCTTTTCCTGAGACACTTTTCAGTCATTCAGGGCACATTCCCTTCTCCACATTTCCATTTGTCTGAACTGTCCCCTTGTGTGGGGTGAGTGTCACATTACGAAGATAGGACAGCAAATTTTACCCTTGCCTGAACATATCCTGTACTTTGTTCCAGCTTAGACTTAATTTCAAAGCCCAATACTCTCCAAAGCCCTGCCAAAACCTAAAACAAACCAGAAAAAAGGATTCACCTCAAATATAAATGTGTTTATTTTTATTTTCCTCTGTTATACATGGGGTTATTCTAGCAGCTCTGGTGACACATGAGAGAAGAATCAGCCCCCTAAATGTGATTTTGCCATCTCCTCTGCTCCTGCTCAGGTGCTACAGCTGTGCCAGCACATCAGAATTTCAGTCAGCTCTCCACCAGCTCCTGGCAGCTCTCACACAGTGGGGCTTAAGCATTTTCTTCTGCCTGGACTCCTTCCTTCTACCTGCATGTTTGCCCATTATTTACAGACATTTCCTAAGGAACTTTTCTGTGCCTGGGTTTGGTCACTGTATTTGTTCTGCTCACCACGAGTAATTTGTTAGTTAGCAAAGGAATTTTTAATCTGCCCACAGGCAGTATTTGATTTGTGTGGCACATTCTGGGGACTGCAGCAGTGTCAGCAATCCCAGGGCCAGCTGTGGGCTGCTGGTGCCACCTGGAGTTAAACAGCTCCTGCCAAAGCCTGCCAGACCCCAAACCCTGAGCTCAGAGCCTGCAAACTCCAGCCTGTGCCATGCCTTGGGATCCCATTTCCACACACTGAACACCCCAAAGGCTCAGCACAGGGAGCCAGGCTGAGCTGGGCACGAGAGCTGCAGGCACTGCGAACCTCAGCCCAGGAAGGGCCAGCAAAAGCCACCAAAGCTTTTAAAAACCTCAGCTCCGGCTTGGTGAGCACTTCAAAAGCCCAGCCTTCAGTATTTTCCTGAAGTCAGCCTCTTGCCTGCCCTTCTCCACTAAAAGGCACAGGCCAAAGCACAGCTTTAGCTGCAGCACAGAGTCAGAGCACAAGTGGCTGCTGAAGCCCAGGCTGTTTCAGATAAGAGCTGCCTCTTAATGCACCACTTGTCTTTGGAGACAAGTAAAATAGAGGTGTGCTGGGCACCCTGGGGCTAAATTGTAGCCTTCCTTAACCAGTAAGGACAGAACTAACTGGACTGCAGCAAAACTGTCCTTGTGGGACACAATAATTTATCCAATGTCAGCCAGGGTCAGCTTTTGGCATCATTAGCCCATTCCTGCTGTGCTGCCAGGCAGGGACAGCAGGGATTTGTTTGGTTCTGTTACAAGCAGGAGAGAGCAAAGCAAAGACCATGGCAGAAACACACTGTGAACAGCTTCAGAAATCTTGGAACCAGGGACTGGTCTGACCTGAAGGGACCCAAAGCCCATCCAGTGCCACACCTGCCATGGCAGGGACACCTCCCACTGTCCCAGGAGCTCCAAACCCCATCCAGCCTGGCCCTGGGCACTGCCAGGGATCCAGGGACAGCCCCAGCAGCACCCTGTGCCAGGGCCTCAGCACCCTCCCAGGGAACAAGCCCTTCTCACCCTGCCCTCTAGCATGAAGCTGCTCCCCCGTGGAGCCTCCTTGGCAAACACTCAGCTCTCAGGGCTTTGGGCTCGTTGCTCCTGTCCCATTCCTGCCCCACTGAGGGAAGTGCGTCAGCGCTGGCCTGGGGCTGCTGCACAGCCCCTGTGACACAGCAGAGCTGATGGAGGTGCCTGACACTGAGACACATCATGTCTGAGCTCCAAATAGCTCAGGCAGGCAGTGAACAATCCCTCTGCCAGCTGCCAGCATCCAGCAGGACGTGGTTGGCTTCAGCCAGACCATCAGCATCAATAAAACATTTGGCAAATCCAGGAGCAGCTGTGACTAATGATGGCACCAACCCCAGCAGGGCACAAAGTCATGGTCAGTCCCTGAGTCATGAACAGCCTGACTGGAAGGGACCACAGAGATCACCCAGCCCAGGCCCTGGCCCTGCAGACACCCCAACAATCCCACCCTGGGCGTCCTGAGAGCTCCTGCAGCTCTGGCAGCCTTGGGACCATTCCCTGGGCAGCCTGGGCAGTGCCAGCACCTCTGGGGGAAGAACCTTTCCCAAAATCCAACCTAACCCTCCCTGACACACAGAAAGGTGTTTTGGCTGGGCACAGATGGAAATGGAATTATGTCTCTGGCTGGGACTTCCAAAAGCAGCTCTTGCTGAGTACCTGTTACCCAGGTATCTGCAGCTCCAAGGGCTCACACCTCTGCAGCCCAGCGGGGAGGCTGCTGAAGCCAACATGCAGTGCCAGGGCTACAATAAAAACCTTTGCCTAAGCACTGCTCCCTTTACCTCCAGGAAGGTAAATTGCTTTGAAGGTGAATCTCCAGTGAGCACCCACCATGGTCTGAGGAGATGCTGCTCCAAGGAAAACCTCTGTTATGCAACTGCAGGATCAAAGAACAGCTCTCCCTGAACCACTAATGCTCATCTTCCTTCTCTTGGGCTAATTATGCCCTCAGGGATACTCTTGAAAAGACACTGAGCCTACACCCAAAGAAACCAGTTGGTACAAAATAAATGAGATAATCTTTTGACTACACTGCACTTGTTATTTTAGGGGAAATGATGCTGAGGGAAGAAGGGAATTGTTTTATTTTTGTAGCCACAAAAGCCTTCCTGGTGTGTTATTTACAGGAAAAAAATGTTACATGACATAAAAAAAAAGCAATGCAGCTTCTCTTTTTCACAGCTGAGTGACCACTGAAGAATTTGGTGAGCAGCAGAGGGAGAGCTGAGAGAGGCAGCTGGGCTGTAACAGTTTAGAGTTTTTGAAAGTGCAGATTTATGGAAGCAGATCCTGCCAGTGGCTCCAATCCTGGCACGAGCATGAGCACTGCAAGAAGGGAGAAATGGGGACCCACTTGTCTGGATAATGAATTCCCATCCCTGGAGTGCCACCAGGAAATCAGAGCTCTCTGGGGAGCCTTTCTTGAGTCAAAAGAATTACACAGGAAGGTAACCTTCCCTCCAGCACTGCTTTATTTTCCAAGTGGCCACTTTGTATAAAAGCACGGTTCCATTCCCACCCAGAGCAGCAGGGAGTGGTGGGACTGAGCCAGGGGAAATGCTCCCAGCAGCACACACAGCACAGGGCCAGCACACACAGCACAGGGCCAGCACACAGAGCACAGGGCCAGCACACAGAGCACAGGGCCAGCACACAGAGCAAAGGGCCAGCACACAGAGCACAGGGCCAGCACACACAGCACAGGGCCAGCACACACAGCACAGGGCCAGCACACACAGCACAGGGCCAGCACACAGAGCACAGCACAGGGCCAGCACACACAGCACAGGGCCAGCACACAGCACTGCCCCATCCCCTGCTTTCTTCAGGAGTAACCAAATAAACAAAAACAAAAGGCTGCCACCTTAAACACAAAACCAAGTAAAAGATAAATAAAATACAGTCAAATACATGACAGAGTATCCCTCTGTGAGCACATCCCAACCCCCTTGGACACGTTCCTGTGCTGCCTGCTCTGGGGACTGGGGATGTCCAGAGGCCCTTCCAGCCCCAGCCGTTCCTGCCTGATGGAAATTCCCCCCTCCCACCCCGAGCCCCTCTGCCAAGGGCAGCACCAGGGCTCTGAGCTGTGCTCCAGCTGCTCCGGGCAGAGCCTCACCTTGTTTTGTGAGTGCCTCCCTCAGGGCTGGGGTGATCATCTCTCTCCTCTCAGCCTCCTCCTTCCTCCAAGCTCCAGCAGCTCCTGCCTCCAGCTCCCGCTCTCTCTGTTGGAAGACAGGGAATTACAGCCAGTTCCAGCCAGGAATCAGCTGCTGGGCTGAACAGAGCCCAGGGCCCCACAGCAATTCCAGCTCCCCTGTAACCCTGCATCTCACCCCTCTCCCCATCAGTAACTCAGGACAGTAAACTGCAAAAGGAACACTCCCAGTGTACCAGATTTGTCCCACCGACGCTGCAATAAAATTCCCGAGGATATTTTAACCAGCAGGGTGTGAAATCTCATCCAAGAGTGGCTCCACGTTTCAGGAGTGCTCAGTAACCAAACCAGGGTGTGCCTGGAGTGCCACTGTTAGCTCACAGAGACAGCAGCCACCTGCACCACCAAAATTCAGCCCCAGCAGGAAAGGGCTGCTCCCCCTGCCCCACAGCCCCCTCCAGCCCAGGGAAGTCTGGCTTCCAGCTGCTCCCACACTCAGCTAAGCCCTGGGCACGAGTTCCAGATACTGGGATAAAGTCATAGGCAGGAAAAGCAAACCCTGGCACGTAACAAGTGGTGACTCCCCTGCTGTGTGAGTGTCACTGCTGAGACTTTATGGGTATTTATTGTTTCATGTCTGCACAAAGAAGCATCAAAGTGGAAATAATTACTTGGATATTTCATGCAACTTGTAATCTGTCAGTCCTTTATGGCTTTTATGGAAGGAGTTATGGATAAACAACAAACAAAAACCAGCAGAGGACATTTTGTCTTGACAACACTGAGGCTATTTCACATCCAAGCCTCTCTTGTGCCAAAGCCATGGAAAAGTTAATGGAAATGCTTCCAGTTTGAGTCTCCCACCAACTGCCAGCATCACTAAGGAAACCAGAGCTCCTGACTTGCCAAACTGCTCTTCACAAACAGGGAGAGGAGTCTGGCTGCTGCTGCACATGAACAGACTGGCTCTGTACCTGAGCAACATCTCAGGAAATAAAAGGGGCCTCAAAAGAAAAATTCAAATATTAAAACACACACACACACAGAGGTTCAAGGACAAAACAACTCCTAATAAACACTTGAGAAGGAAATTGGAGAGTGAAACATTTAGGAACAGAGATTATTACCTTCCCTACTCATTTTGGATAAAACTGTGCTCACAGTCTCAGGGATGTTGTTCAGAAATGTGTTTTTCAACAACCAGTATCACAACATGGTCCTTTCTAAGGGAGAAAGCTGTATCCACCTTCCACTTCCTTCCACTCCGCTTCCTGAGCCCTTAGACAGACTCCATTGGTTTCTGTAACACATTAAAACTCCCCTGGAAGCCTACATCTGATAATTAATTGTCATTTAACGGGTTTTAAAGCTCATTTCTTGAGCTTTGATCTTAATTTATCAGCAAGACTCCTCAACAGTAAAATATTAATATTGCTGTGAAAGCTTCATGCATAAGGAAGGAAGGAGATAATAGATGAAAACTTCATGTTCCAAGTGTTAAACACAGCACTTGTCGTGCCACGAGCCATCACCTGCCCCAGGCCAGGTCACTCTGTTTTACCCTGCCCTGTGAGACCAGGACAAACTCCTGCTGGGGAATGGAATTCACTGCACAGGGACTTTTACTTCCTTGCTTCATAAACCTTTCAGATCTGCTATTGAGGGTTGGAGAGAAGGGAAAAACGTTAACTTTGCACAAAGCAAACTTCTCCAGTTGTGGTGATTTAGTAGAAAGCCCTGCAGTAAATCCAAGGCAAATCGTTGCCTTTCCATAACAAATCAAGCAAGCAGTGACAAGAGCCAGTTTTTCAGGCCCTTGAAATATTTCACTGCCAAAAATTGGAGGTGCAGCTCACAAAGGAGTGAGCCCAGAGATGAGGAAAATCTCTGGACCCACCCCAATTCCTTGGGAGGCTCAGCACAGATCCACTGCAGGCCAGAAGGGGCTGGTTCTGAATAGAGGCAGCTGAACCTCGGCTGTGATGCCCTGCTCTGCAGCTGAGGGGAAAAGGAATCCCTTCCCTTTCCCTCACACAGGCAGCACAACAGGCAGGCGCAGCACATTCCCAAGGCAAGGAAAACACAACTTCCATGGACCAACAGCCCCTGACACAAGTGAGGGCATCAGCATTCCCTGCCCCAGCACAAATCCCAGTGCCAGTGCTCCAAAGGGCTTCCTCCAAACCTGCCTTCCACCCCCAGGGGACCAGCAGGAGCTGCCACTGCCACTTGTCCCCCTCCCTGAAGTGCTTTCTGCAGAATGTCCAGGTGCCCGACAGCTCCCCGTGTTCCCCACTTCACCCATCACTCTTCAAACTCATCCTGCAGGGGGGAGGAAAATAAAAAAGGCACCAAAACTCCACACAAAGGCTGAGGAAGTTGGGGCTGCTCAGACTGAGGAAGAGGAGGCTGTGTGGAGACCTCACAGCACCTCCAAGGTCTGGAAGGGCTACAGGGAAGGCAGAGAGGAATCCTGCATCAGGAACTGGAGTGACAGGACAAGGAGTAACAGGTTCACTCTGACAGAAGGGAAATTAGGGTTACAGACTGAGGAGAAATTCTTCCCTGGCAGGGTGGGCAGGCCCTGGCACAGGTGCTCAGAGCAGCAGGTTTGGAGCAGCCTGGGACAGTGGAAGGTGTCCCTGTCCTTGGAACAAGATGAACTTTAAGGTCCTTTCAAAGCCAAACCACTCTAAGATTCTCTAAATTAACTTAATTTAGCACTTCTAGCCTCCTGGCTCTATTGACCCATGTGCCATGGCAGGGTAAAAAAAGCTCCCTCAAAAGCTTTTACTCTCAGAAAAAAATTTACACCCAATTATGCCTCAGCTTCTTTCCCACTTAACCTCCCAGTGGTCAGACAAAGGAAACCCCTGGCCTTGCCCTGATTTACAGCCTCATCCAGCTACAAGCTCCAGGATCTTTTCCCAGATGAAAAGCACAAGCATTAAGCAAACAGGAACACAGCAGGGCTGGAGCCAGCACGGACAGAACAGCACTGAGGGAACGCTGGCCAGGCTGTCAGGAAAAGCTGCCTGGCAGCAAGAAGGATTAGCAGCACTTCCCCAGGGGCTGGGGAATGAACTGTTAAAGTTCATGAATTACACGAAGAGGAGTTAAAGTTCAGGGAGCAGAGCTCTGGAGGCAATGCCCCAGGGACAGGACAGCAATGCTGGCAGCTCCCCTCGCTCAGCCTTGTCTGCCAGGGGCACCTCTGACAAGAAACACGGGGGGATTTGGGGAGCTGATGGGACAGCAGGCTGCCCACAGGAATGGCATTCCTTTCCTTACAAAACACAAGGGGAGAAGGGAACCCAGTGCCCCATTCACCCCTGAACACAAGCACAGCTGCTCAGTGCCCTGGCTGTCCCCGTGTCACTCAGGGGTGCTCAGTGCCCTCCCTGGCTGTCCCCGTGTCACTCGGGGGTGCTCAGTGCCCTGGCTGTCCCCGTGTCACTCGGGGGTGCTCAGTGCCCTCCCTGGCTGTCCCCGTGTCACTCGGGGGTGCTCAGTGTCCTGGCTGTCCCCGTGTCCCGGCAGGGCTGGAGCAGTGCCCAGGAGCTGCTGCAGCAGCCGCCGTTCCCTTCTGCCCGCTGACCTCTAGTGGTGAGCACAGAGGACACAGCAACCATGTTCTCCACGAGCAACTGCGGTCCTTTCTCGCTCCAGAGGGAAGCCAGAAGGTTCCCCAGGCTTCCCTCACGAGTGGCAGCACACAGGCAGATCCCGGCTCCGGGACAGGTTCTTCAATAGCTCATATTTTACTCCCCCTCGAACCAAACCCTACAGATTCAAATCCAGCCAGTTCATTTGAATCAGTCCAGCTGCTCAGTGACCAGGACCTGGCCATTCCATACCCCCTCTAACAGCAGTACCTTTGCTTTCTTCATGTGGCCCATGATAGTGCCAAGATCTTCAACATCGATGACAGAATCTGTGCCTCCAGCTTCCTCCTCACCACTGCTTTCAAACAATTCCTCTGCCTGTGGGAGAGAGCAGAGAAAAAAACTAAGAATTTATCTCACTGTTAAATGTAAAACTAGGCTCACCAGTGAAATGAGCTCTCCTCATCAGTAAAGACCACTGAAAATAGACAATAGCCTACTAAAACCTGTAGGATGGATATGGAACCCTGAACCCCCTTAAAACCAAGTGTCTTGCTGACAGCAAGATTTATTCCTCCTGCAGCAGCCAGCACTCCCTAACCCAGCCAGAAGAACCACTTACTTTCCTATAAAATTCAACCCAGCAATAACTTCCAACCCACAGTTTGAGGGAGGATTAAAGTGCCATAGCAGCTGTGGATCCTGCACTGGAGAGCAATAGAGTTGATGTCTTAGCCAAAATCTGCAATCAATAAACACTCCAGAAGAGAGAAATGATTACAGGCAGACACACAGAAAGGACATACAGGGCTTGCTCAGGTAACACGCCCCAGCTGCCTTTGGAAAACCCTGGGATGCTGGCAGAGCAGCTGAGCATCACCAGGTTAATGGCTCACAGGGAACTGAACACTCCCCTTGGCCTTGGTCCTGCTGAGAACCCAGCCTGGCTCCCTGGAGCATCTGTGCCCAGCCAGGATGAGACTCCCTCATCACACAAATGCCATTCAGCCTGGGTCTATCACTGATCCTTCCATCTGGACTGCAGGAGGAAGGGGAAGAGCCAAACAGTGCTCCAAATGAAATAAAGCCTCGAGGATTGTGGCTGTACCTCAGTATCCTCGTGTTCCGATGTCCCAGGTTCATGGTCTGAGCTTTCCTTGCTCTGCTTCCCTGAAGATTTGCACTTTCCTTTCTTGCACTTCCCACTGCAGGGCTTCTTTTCACCTTTGCAGAGCACCTGGAGCCGAGTGAGGAATTTGGCTTTCCAGGCCTCAAAGTCAGCCTCGATGCTGCCGTGCTTGCTCTGGGCCACGTTGCAGTCGCCCTCAGCCCGCGTCATGATCCTGCTGGCACCGAGCATCCACAGCCACCTGTCCATCCTCCTTCCAACCTAGAGCAGCAGGAAGGGCCAGAAAGGAAATCAAACCAGGCCCAAGTGCAAGCAGCCAGCCAGCACCAGGATCAGCCCTGGGAAGAGCCCGTGAGCTGCATGGCACTGCAGGGCTGGGGAGTCCCTCAGCACAGACACAGGGCAGCCTGAACAGCACCACACCACCTCAGACTCCAGTGGAAAATCCCCCTGCTGTCCCTGGGGTGAAGGGATGGGCTCAGGGAACAGACTGCTCTGTGTGGTGCTCGGTGGTCAGAATGGTGACATGTGTGACACACAGCCCCAGCTTTGCAGAAAGCTTTCAAAGCTGGGAAATGAACTCAGGGTCGAAGCACTTCATTCAGCTGAGGCTCTCAGGGAGCAGAAGCCAAGCAGGGAGCTCAGGGGACACTCACTGTGTTGTAGTGATCCACATAGGCCGAGTTCCCCAGCCCGAACACTGCGTATCTCAGGCCTTGCAGGAAGCTTTTCCCAACACGGAAATCACTGCCTGCCTCTTCCAGCCACTTGCAGAACCAGGCTGCGCTCTCCGGGGGCTGCCCCTCCGTGTAGGTGGCCACCAGGAACACACAGATGTTCCTGCTGCTTGTCTGGTCACACAAACAGGACAGGAGAGAAAAAAAACAAATCACTGCATTTTCCAGAACTTTCTTTTAAAGCAGAGTGACAACACCCAGGCAGCTGGGAGAAATCAGAACACAAGGCTGTCTCCTGTTGGGGCGGGATGGTTCAGGTGACAAAGCCAAGGGTGCTGAACAACCTGCACAGAACCTTAAATTAGCACAGACAGGTGAAGCTGAACAGGGATACAGTGACAGAGCAAAACTGGACATCCAGCCCCATCAGCAGCTTCCTGCTCTGGCTCTGAACCTCGCCCAGGGGTGCAGGACACTTGGGGCAGCCACTCTCACACAGCTCACCCCTGACTTACAGAACCGGCTCTTACAGAGTAACTGGCACAGCAAAACATCCAAGTGGTGCTTTGAAATACTCAAAATGTAGTTTTTTTTCTGTTGAAGGCAGAATTTGCATACATTTGCATAGGTAGGGAAGCAATTCAACACAAAGCTTCAGGGATTTCCAGAACAACAGGAGGGAAATACAAGAGGGAAACAGCCTTGACAACCCCAGGAAATCTCGTACCTATTACTGGTGTTTATGCCATACCCACCTCCTCTGCTAAGCCATCTTCTGGATCATAGTCTCCCATGTTAATGACTTCCACAGGCAAATTGAGGGACATGACAGCTTCAGCCAGAGCTTTGGCAAATCTCTGAACAAAGAAACACAGCAAGTTATCAATTACTTCAAGCCACACAAGCCCTGCTCAGCCACAAGACTTCTCCCAGCACGGGAAGAATAATGACACAGGAGGCCTGGACACCAGCACTGCAATTCCTCACATTAAAACAAAAATGGAATATATTGGCTGAGAGTTACAACATTATAATGACTAATACATTATATCACAGACTAACACATTAATTCACAGATACATACACAAATTACATTTCTTCTTGAGAAAGCACCAAAACCAGCACATCTCTCTATGAAGCCTAGCTAGAAAATTAAAATTATAGTGCAAGAGTGAAATTTTAGCTTTATAATCAATCTCCTCTGCATGCCTTGCTTAAAGGGAGGATGAAAATTGTTACTTTTATTTAATTTTTCACTTATTTTGCATGTTGGGCCATGATTGTAACAAGGTAATGAATGTGCAACTCCCAGATCTGTACCATGGGCAGTGTTCCAAGGCAAAGTTCTCAGATCCCAACAATATTTCAAAGCAACTTCACAGATGTCCAATAAAAGTACAGATACCTTTGCTGTGCCAGTCTGAGAGCCATAGAAAATCTTCACTCCAGCAACATGGATCTCCTGTGCCTGGGGGGTGGCACATCCATTTCCCAGTTTGTCTGCTGCTCCCTCGGGGGCAGAGGGATTCCCATGGGATTTCTCACCCTACAAAACAAGAACTGTGTCACACCCAGTCCCTTCTCCGAGGACTCAAAATTCACATCCTGGGGCCACTCTCAGCAATGTTAAAGCATTTTGTTTCCTCTCACACCCAGACAAACACAGCAGGACCTGTTTTCCTGACCCAGGCCATGCTACAATACCCACTTCTCTGGGAGGCAACAGGATCCAACCTCCCAAATGCTGTAGCAGATCTTTACCCACCTGCACAAGGAGGTTTTCAATTCCTGGATGGCCTAACCCCCTCCCATCCCAAAACCAGCCCAACCCTGTCATTAGCATCATGAAAACATGAAGGTGCTAACAATGGGCACAAGCAGAGGGGTTTGGTGACAGAGCAACCCATTCTCCCAGGAAGAGTGTGAGGAGTGTCCTGCTGAGCTCTGCCCCAGCATCAGAGCAACAAGAGCATTTAGTGACCCACAGACACAAACAATCCAGGCTGAGGATCATAACCAGATAACCAAACTACATTTGGGACTTGCAATACCCTCAGCAGGCCCCCAGCAGGTGCCTTTATCCAGTAACTACTGACTTCCACCCAGGTTTTTGGGGTTTTCTCTGAGAGAAGTGCTGACAGGCTCAGTTACCTTCCTTTTGATTCTGGTGGTGGTGAACTGAATGACAATCCAAAGGCTGATCCCAAAAGCAACAGCAGAATAGATGTAAAATCTGTGCAGCCATATGGACACCAGGCAAGTATGGAAGTAGCTCCACGCATCCATTGAGACATCTAAATCTGGAATGTCACAGATTCCTACAGACTGAATATGGAATGAGCACACAGAATAATCACACAGTACCCACAGCCCCACATCATCAGCTACTGCCATTCCAGAAAACAGCTTCTGGCTAAAGACAAGGCACTAGAACTGAATCAAGAATCCTCAGGTGTGTCAGCTGAGCTCCAAGCTAGCATTCCATGCTGTCAGAGGGAAACTGGGTTTTTCCCTGATAGAAAAAGCAGAAAAATACTTGTGCTGTCCAAATGCCTGAAAAGAAAAAGTCCTTGTGAAACATTCAGTGGATCATACTGGCTTTAGGTTTACACAAACCCAACAAACGCAGCTCTCTGAAATGAGAAAGCTTGAGTCCAAGGTGGAAACCACCTGCACAGAGCTTTCTGCTGAACACAACCCTTGCTTACACACACACTGACTACAAACAGAGTTTCAAGGGAACATTGAAACGTGGACTCAATTGGAAACACTTTCACAGAATTCTATGATGCAAGTGAAGTTTGACTTGGAACCACCAAGATGTTTCAGGTTGGTTCAGAACATTCATGGCACAGGGCACAGCCAGGAACGCGTGTATGTGGGAACATCTATTTCATATGGAATATTCAGGCACTCCAAAAAGGCTGGTTTGTGATACTCACTGACTGAGGAACACAGCTCACACCCTCCTACTGTCATCTGCAGCTTACATCTTGTTTTTACAGATATCAGCCAAGAGCACAGAATCCAAGTATTCCTCAGAATCCAAGTATTCCTCAGAATCCAAGTATTCCCAAGAGGCTGGAAACTCATACTGGCTGTTACTCAAGTTACCAGAGCCAAGGCTTAAGGGGATGCACTTCACCCCTCCAGCAGCAACACTGAGACTCACAAAAGAGCCAAGAGTACTTGCCCAGTGTTCCCAGTTTTACCAAACCAGCTACAGGGATTCCCTTAACCTCTATACAATGTCCTCAAATGCAATAGATGCTACATCTATTCATGACAATTTCAGCTCCAGAACCGGCACACACACACTCGCTATTATCCCCTACAACAACTCCACACCCCCTTGTCAGTATCACCCCTACACACACATCCCATCCTCCTGGTTATTCCTCCTCTCAGGGTTAATTTAATGCCCCTCTTTCCCCAGACACCCACAGTTATTACCCCACCTTCTCCTGCCTCTCAGGGTTATCATTCCACCACCACGCAATACTGAACACCGGGTACCTCCGAGTTACAACCCTGTACACCGAGAGTTAATAAACACCCCACGGGCATTACCCTCACCTCCCTCCAAGCATCCTCTCACATTTATATCCGCACACTCAGGGTTATTATATTCACGGCTTTCAGCCCCTACATACATTATTATCCCGCACACAGGGTTATTATATCCCCCTTCACGGCTTTCAGCCCCTACACACACACAGTTATTACCCCGCACACACGGCTAGTCTGTTCCCGCATCCCGGCGCTCTCACACACACAAACACACAAATAAATACACAAATAAACACACACACACACACACAAACACACAAATAAACACACAAATAAACACACAAATAAACACACACACAAATAAACACACAAATAAACACACACACACAAACACACAAATAAACACACACACACACAAACACACAAATAAACACACAAATAAACACACACACACACACACACACAAACACACAAATAAACACACAAATAAACACACACACACACAAACACACAAATAAACACACAAATAAACACACACACACACAAACACACAAATAAACACACACACAAATAAACACACACACAAATAAACACACACACAAATAAACACACAAATAAACACACAC